ATCTGTTATGTTGTATATCTGAGTGCTTTATGAGGCCATTACCATGGAATCTGGGTGCTTCGCATTCCATTTTAAACGAACACATCTAATAAAGTGAGTCACTCAATGAAAGACTTTAAAAATAGAAAACTTATAATCATCCCCACTCCAGTTTGCATAACTTGCCACCGGCACGGCAGCATTGTCTAATTCAGGCTTTCTTGGTCCTTCCCAAAGCTTCTCAGGTAAGTTTGGGATGATGAGAGAAGTCTGGGATGCTGAGAGCCCCAGACCAACATCCCTCTGGGCTGAGCTGAGAGCCTTGTGCTGCCTCTGCTCCCCCAAACAGCCAGAGACGCTTCTCTCCGCTCCCTTTCACTCAGCTTGTGGTCCTGCTGGCAGGAACACCTGAAACGTACCTGGCCACCGTGACAGGGACAGGACAGCAGGACAGGCCACCATGAGGATTCTTACTGGTGGTAACTTCAGCCTTTCGAGCTGGGCTGTTCTGAGAGTGCATTACTGGCAGTTTATGGCTGTGCCAATGCAGGAAGGGGCCAAATAACAAGAAAAAGGGGATGTCAGCAGAAAATAATCCTGTTGGCACCTCCTTTGACAGGATGATCTACCAGCTCTCCCAGAGCTGCTGTCCTCTGCTTTTCAGAAGGCTGAAGCGTTTAATACTACACTACACAGATGTCAGACCACACTGACTGAAGTAATGTCGTGGTTCCTCAAACCGGGACAAGTAAGCATCTCGGAAACAAGCGACTAAAGTTCAAACTAGCCCAAACTAAAGATGCTTGCCCTGCAGCACTCCTAATGGCCACCCAGCATCCCTCCCCGTGGCTGGTAAGGGGCTGATCTCCTGGGCTGGGCTATGTGGTACCAACCCAGCAGGGCCAGCGAACGGGAGAACAAAGCAGCACGCTCTGAAGGGCAACCAAAGCTTGTGGGCTACGTCACCAGCAGAAGCCCGGCCCACTGACTCATGAGCTTGTGACTCGTACGTGTAATTACTGTAAAGCCCTATCTATAACGGAGCCACACACCAAGAAAGAGTTCCAGCAGGTACAAAGTGTAGCTGATACCACAGCAGAGCCCATCCTCCAGATCCTCTCCTAAAGCCTCCGGTGGTTGCTTCGGTTCTTAAACACAAGTTACGGCACTTCAATTAAAGTAATTATCCAAGAGCTACCTCGCCAACCAAGCACACAAACATAACCCACAATACCTAGCCAGCTCACAGGGTTACAACTCCTCTTAAGCCACAGACCACACCACAAATTTGTAAGTTCCTATACAGGGAACTTAAAACCCAAAACTTAAGGAGTGGAAGCGAAACACCATATGGGGAAAATCCTTCCCACGCTCCAGTACCGGCAACGAGCTCGGCTATCGTGCCCAAAAGTAGTTGCAGTGCTTGTCATGCACAAAAATAAAGGAAAAACAAAGCAAAAAATAGGAGTACTATCCTTCTTCCTTCTCCTGTCCCCACTGCCTCAAACTCCTTCATTTGCTGTCTGCTCTCAGGCGAGCAGGACCTTCCCACCCAGCCCCAGACAATATCCCGACTGCTTTAAGCTCCATTCTATAAGGAACAAACTTTTTTGGCTTCTCTTTGCACTATTTGTATTTTTAACCTAACCACTTCTGTTTCGTTATGCTCCTACAAAAAAAAAAAAAAAAAAAACTCCAGGCGAGCAGGACCTTCCCACCCAGCCCCAGACAATATCCCGACTGCTTTAAGCTCCATTCTATAAGGAACAAACTTTTTTGGCTTCTCTTTGCACTATTTGTATTTTTAACCTAACCACTTCTGTTTCGTTATGCCCCAAAAAAAAAAAAAAAAAAAAAAAGCCTTCCAGATAATGAGGGGAAAAGTCTGATTTGTAAATCTTTCCTGGGATTTCAGAGAGGGGTAACGTTGCCAGAGAAAGCAGCGTGGTTGGGAGAGTGAGACAATGCTCCCCAACAACAGTGGCTGCAGGGCCAGGCGCTGCACCTCACCACTTACAGAACACAACCAAACACCGAGGCCACCAGCGTTTTCAGCCTTCCCATCGCACAAACATCATAACATATTTATCAGAAAAGTATTTCAACTCCCTCTTGCCCTATTGAATGATTACTTCAAAATGTGCCATCCAAGGAGTGACCTGATGACCGGCTAAAGGTACGCAGGGCGGTTTCCATACTTTGCTGTTCTTGTGCCAACACCATCTTTCGCTTGAATAGCTCAAACAGCCATTCCTGCTCTCTGCACTACCCGGGGTTAATGCCAGCCATAAAGCCCACCACCCACAATACACAACTCACAAACACTGCAAACCCATTACTGCAACTAGAAAGAGATGTTCTTGTTAGAAGCAGTTAATTTATAGCTGTTCACCCTTTTTTTTTTTTCTGATATTCTTCATTCCTCTCATAGTTAATGCGGATATTTGATTAAACAGTCTACCAAGTCAGCTGGATCCCAACACTGAATGGTATCCATGGTTTTCTATCCCCCCCCGAGTTCAAACAAAAGGAGAAAGGATTAAAAGACAAAGTGTTTTGCTTATTACAAGACTGGACACAGACCTGCGTATACAAACAGGTACCTGTTCAAAAAATAACTACAAATGAGGTGATTACTTAGGTGTGTCAAGGAAGTGACCTAGTTTTATACACTGGCATAAAGATTGAGACCTGATAGCACATGCAAATCCGATGCCAGAGGAGGGCCGTGCATTCAATACCATTCTGAAATCAGAATCAACCCTTGGTTTGAGCAACGCTTTGCTCAGCACAAAGGCACAGGTGGGGACTTTGGACCCGGCCAGCAGAGAGAGGACAACCTGGGTTCCTCCAGCACCATCAGGACACGACCCGGAGCAAGTTCACCTGGTGTTTGGAAACCCCTCCCGAGATAAAGCTGCACGTTCACTTGGCAACCTGGCTCAAAGGAAGTCATTTAAGGATACAAAATGTTTCTATAAGCAATACGATGAGGCTGCAGAAGAGTTCTGATTGCAAACTGTTTGTTCATTATGTAATAAAAGCTGTTTTCTAAAGCGATGAAAGCTTTTAGGAAGAAATGGGCTATACGCACATCAGCAAGAGCTGTGCCACAACCGCAGCGGACCCCGAAAGCAAAACAGCAACTCATTTTGTGTTCATTTCTCTTTTTACCCAGCACTTGGCTTTTCAGCGGTCCCTCACTCTCCTGAGATCACCCAACATGGCATGGTCCTGGGACAACGACAAGGACAGGTATCCGTGCCCTTCTGGGGGCAGGACACCGCGATCCCGCTCCCATCAGCTGTGGGGGCACACCCTGCGTGATAAAGCTAATCCCCAGAAAAATGCATGCACAAACTACAACCGGAAGGACAAGCAATATATGGGAGATTAACTAATTTATACAACTAGACCAGTTGTATAAATCAAGCTTAAACCAAGAGCAGCACAGGCCCATATATTTCAGAAAAGGTAAAATAATTCTTTAAGTCCCATTCACCCGCATGTAAACAAGGACTATGACAAAAGTAAGCTGTTGCTTAACAGAGCTACTTGCAAACACAAACCCTTGTTTGGAAACCAACAAGATATTCACATGGGAAAGTAGGGAGTAACAACTGCAAACTGGCTGTGGAAAAGGGACATTTCTTTTAAATATTTGCTGAAGCTTGCAGAGACTTGTGTGGCAACCAAGCAGGCAGCAGAAAGGAACCTACACGAGCTTTCATTTGGAAAACTGGTTTGTGTGAGTGGCCTTTGAAGCTGCCACATCCACCCAGCTTCCCAAAGCTCCACGAGATCTGTGGATCTCCAGAGAAAACACTGCATTATATAATAAGGGCCCAGCTCACCAAGCTGTGATTATTACGCTGCTGCTGTGCTGCCATACATGCACACACACATAATTAGGCCAAACAAAGTGTGCACCTATATGTCTGCAACCAAAGTAGCACTATAAATTAGATACAAGGTATGTGCATAATTTTTTATGCCCATTGGTGCCTACTCAAAACTTTCATCCCAAGTTAGACTAAATTAAAATTGGCAAATGGCTAACATTAAAATTAATCATATGCTCCTTGTTGCTACTACAGAAGAGCCAATACTGGATTTTGCCTTAGCTACCAACCCTTAAAGGTCTTGAAGTTTAAGATTGAGTCTACTGGCTAAGCATCCATCACTGCTCATCACTGACCGTTTCTGAGGAACCGTACCTATGAATAAGCGAGAAAAAGAAAAGGCCTGATTGACTTCAATTAAAAATACATCATGCTCTTAACAGCTGGGTCTCTGAGCTTGCTTCTTATCCACAGTCAGAAGATTACCTTACAAAGGGACTTCCGAGCCTTCAGGCCAACGTCAGTGTAATTACACTTGAGCAACCCTCTCATGCTGGGAAACTTTCTGGGTGGAAATGCCATCGCAGGAGAGCAGCCATGGCTCACAGAGAGCAGACTGCAAACACGGAGAACGAAAAGAGGACACAGGGAGAAGTCTGGCCATCACCCGAGAGCCACCAGAGGACAGAAGCAAGAGTCTGTAGTGGTGACAGAGTCACGTCTCCGCAGGGCTCCAAGCCTTGAAGAGGAAGTTGTCCTTGTCTCCTTGGCTGCCCTGCTCGAAGCTAGACACAGAGTGTGCCTGGCCAGCCTGGCGAGGTGTCCCAGTCATGCCTCGGTCCCCACAGAGCTCTGTGAGGGCCTGACAGCAGCAAAGGGACACCAGGAGGGGTGACAAGGAGTGGGGCAGAGAAGAAAAATGCAGAGCAGGGACGGGAGCGGCGGTGGAAGGGAGCTGGCTGGCAGCACGCCTTCGCTACCACCTTACAGCAAATAGAGTAAACTTGGCAGGTAGTAAATCTGGCTGGTTTAAACCCAAGGTCTACACACACACACATTTATAAACTTTTCCTGTAGTAATGGGCTTACAAGGGTTTACCGAAGCAATTGGTTAGAAGAGATAACGTTCTGGTTTGAGTAAAGAATCCAGATAAGAACGCAGGGAAGTTTAGGACTTACTTGTTACAGCGATAGACTCTCACCCAGGAACGGTCCCACAGCAGCGTTCAAGGCCAGTGAGGAGTAACCACCTGCATTTCCCACACAGCAGTGTGACTACAGCTATGCTATTCTTTGCCCAGCATTCTTAATAATAGGAGATGCTGTATTCCACCAGCTCTACCCGAGAAAGAAAAATCTAGTGAAAGGCTCCTGCAAAACCTCCCCTCTATTTGTTATATGTGTGCAGGCAGATATCCATAAACAGAGAGAGCAGGGCTGTGCCTGGGCTGTGAGGGAGCTCAGGGTGACAACACACAGACAAACGGGACAGCTGCCGAGTGCTTTATCCTCCTGCCATTAAAACAACCACACGCTCCATTTTTAGGTCGCTCTTTCCTGTAAGCTCCCCCCCTCCCCTCCTCCGCTATCAACACCCCACACACCACCAACCACCACCACAACCGAAAGCCACTTACTCCAACAGCCCGGCCGAGCGCCGCGTCCCTCACGGCAGGAGGAGATGGAGGGATGAAGGGAGGGCTCCCTCCGCGCCTCCCTCTCCCCGCTCCGCCTCAGCCTCCCCCGCCCTGCCCGCCGCCTCAGCCAGCCGGCAGGGCCGTCCGAGGGCGGGACGGTTCTCCTCAGGAAGGGGAAGCCGCGGTAGGCCCCGCCGCTGCGGCCTGTTCCCGCCCTCCGAGCCGCGGGCTGGA